GTTGATGATGACGGAAGGTCATCCAATACTATGCTGAACATATTTTATATTATACTATCTGAGGGTATACCATTATCCAAGAGATAACGCAATAGTGCAGTTGTAAGGCGTCTGCCCTGTTTCGAGGAGGCACCGAGGTTCGGTTCCCGAGATGGGCACATTTGCATAGTATCCTTGGACAAGATACCTAGATCTACACTGTCTCAGTTCACCCAGCTGTAAAATGGGTACCCGTGATTATGTGCTGGCAATGTGAGTGTTTAGTTCATTGCGCCTAACAGGCAGCATGGCTGTACAGTCCCCAGGGAGTTGCAAAAGTATCGGAAACTACGATAGTGTCCTATGATCGGGGATAGTAATGTACGTAGCGCCATGAGCAGGCAATGTGCCTGGATGTGAGCGCCATATAAGCGGACTATTACTATTACTAGATACCAAATGGGAGATCGTTTTCCATTTTCTGCAAATTTGCAAGAAACATAATACCCCAATGATGTGATGACTAATATCTCCTTAACCACATTACCCACATGAAATTTTGGATATGACTTTGCTAATGATTCCTTCAAAATAAAATGGAAGCTTCTTTTCAAACATTGGACACCGAGAATATAGTTAGTTTGACTACTTTTTCAACGCCCCCTCGTAAAATATAGTGTGGTAGGATGGGTACAGTTTTCAAGTCCCGTGGAAGTTTTGTTATGAAAGCAAGACATTGTGTTATTTGTATTCATCAGAGAAGTTTGGTTCCAAGTCGAAATATGGTGCAAATAGTACTTTTGAGCACTGTACAAAATTGTTGTGGAAAAGGTTGCTAAAGGGTCAGAAGGTCATGATGGGAGAGTTGAATATTTAAAGTTTAAGGCTATTAACTTTATCCAAGTGTGTTCTCTATTTCATGAAATATTTTATTTAATTTTTGTTTTTTTTAATTAAAACAAAATGAAAATAATGAATACTCCCTATCTCAAAATGGTAGCTATCAGACGAATTTAAGCAGATGTAGGTTTTGTTCATTTTGTAAGTATATGATTGCTTCAGTTTATCAAATCAATGTAAATCCAGCTCTTAATAAAAGTGAAAGAACAGTTAGGTATGTATGAAACTAAAAAGAGATGTCTATTTCTGTTTGATGAGACTGTCAGTAAGGGAGCAGTCTTTATTTCAAATGTAGTTGGTAAATATCAAATTATGCGTTATCCAATTCTTATTAATACGTTAAAAAAAATTCTTCTAAAAGCAGAGTTCTTTGAAAATAGATAAGAATATAATGAAATGATGGGGAGAAAACATTATTTCTGCTTCACACTCTCTCAATTAAATCCCTTGAAATAATTTTGAAGTCATCGGAACGGATCATTCTAAAATGGTTACAATCTTTTCAAAAAATATATATACAAATTATTGTAGGGGAGAAATCCTTTTTTTATCAGCAGCATAGGAGAAGGCACGGTCTCCATATTTAGCTTGTTTGACTTTGGGGATAACAAGAAGGTGCTGATTCCCGGATCTCAGAGATATAGATAGTGCACAAGCCTGAAGAAGATCTGAGAGGTAGACTGGAGCCATGTTAGTCATGCACTTGTATGCGAGACAGAGGAGTTTGAAGGAGATTCTGTGTTTCACGGGCAGCCAATGGAGGTCCTTTAGAGTTGGTGTGATGTGCAGTTTTCTGGAGATCTAGGAGGTAATGCGAGGAGGTAAATTCTGTATGCACTGGAGTTGACCAGTGACACAAGATGGAGATCCGACCAAAAGGTCGTTACAGAAGTCCATACGAAGTGTGACTAGGCTCAGGCAGAGAGTTTTGGAGGCATCTTTGGTAAGAACGGTCTGGCCTTACTGATATTGCGAAGATGGAAGTAGCAAGTTTTAGTAACATACTTGACGTGTTCTGTCACATTGAGATCTTGATCGATGACAACACCCAGATCCTTGACAGTGGAAGAAAGTGGAATAGTTGCTCCACAGACAGACGCACTAGTATTGTCACATTGCTTGATTTGTCCAGCCTGTCCCAGAAGAATGGACTCTGTTTTCTCTTTATTTAATTTCAAGGCATTTGATGACATCCATGCATATCTTCTGGCAACAGTCTGATGTCTGACGGAGAGGCGCTCTAGATGACTCTGTGTTTGGTTGAAATAACTTCCACAGCTGCATGTCATCTGCATAGTTCTAAGTGGTCAAGGTTGTGGTCTGCTACAATAGCGCCAAGGGGAACAGTATAGAGGGTGAAGAAGATCGGACCAAGCACGGATACTCGAGGGACTCCGGACACAAGCCTAGATGCGGTTGACATAGACTCACCAATAACAACGGTTTGAGTCCTGTCCTGTAGATAAGGTGCCAGCCATGATAAAACTGAATCCTTTATTCAAAGTTCTGTATCAAATCTTTTGAGGAGTCTCTGTTGATCTATCATGTCAAAAGCACTGCTTAGGCCAAGTAACGTGAGCAGGGCCACTTGTACTGTGTCAAGACCACATCATAGGTCATTCAGGATCTTCAGCAGAGCCTTCTATGTGCTGTGGTGTGCTCTGTAGGCTGATTGGAACACCTCATAGAGGTTATGCCAGGAAAGGTGGCACATGAGACGACTGGAGACTGCACGTTCAATGAGCTTGGATATAAATGCTAAGTTTGAAACAGGCCTGTAGTTTTTTGGATCCGCACAATCAAGGCTTGATTTCTTCAGATGTGGCCTAACTAGAGCTGACTTGAGTACACGTATGACATAACAGGATGAAGTAGAAGAGTTAATAATCAGCACACTAATGTTGGCAAGAGTACGTCGACACAGTCATATAGAAGGTCAGTTGGAATCGGATCAAGTAAACAAGTTGTTCTTTTTGCAGATTTCAGTAGTTTAGTAACTTTAGTGTCAGTGAAACTATCAATATGAGTAAGAGGCGTGCCATCAAACATTTTTGGAGGAAAATCAGCTTCAGCCACAGCCACAGAAGACGAAATCTTGTCATGAATGTCTTAGATCTTTTTGTAGAAATATTCCGAAAATGTCTGTGTTGTTGCTGCATTGTCATCAGATGTCGGAAGTGACGATTCCCAGTGTTTACCCAACATACTGAACAAAAGTTTGAACAGCAACTTTGGACTTGACTCATTGACTTTAATCTTAGAATTGAGATGTTGATTTGGCTGATGACCATTGTTGAGTGATTTCTGGCTGAAATATACATTTGGCGATGAATCTCCAGGAAATATTTTTTTCCATCTGCGTTCTGCTTTCCTCTTGTCTCTTTTCGCTTGTCGAACTTCAGGTGTGAAGTCCCAAGCAGATGTTTTAGTGACTGGTATGACTCTGTCCTTCACTGGTGAATGTTTGTCTAGCAGCTCAGATAGAACTCTGTTGTATAGCATATTGTCTTTAAAAGTATCCTTATCCAGGGAGCGTATGTTTACAGCGAGGAATCTTCACATTTGGACTTGGTATTGAGAGGTCCAAGCTCACAAAGATATGGAAATGATCAGAGAGATGTAGATCCTATGCAGATACACATCTGACACAAGCGTCTGAAGCACGGGTTACTATCCAGTCCAGAGTGTGTCCACCTCTGTGGCTTGCCTCTGACACAAGTTGTACACAGTTGTGGACTTCAAGAAGATTAAGTATTCGTTTAGTGTCATGGTTATCCTTGTTGCAAAAATGGAAATTGAAGTCGCCTACGATGATAAGAGCTACTTCGTCAACTTTTCCAGTTGCCGAGACGGTGCCGAGCAGTAATTTCTGCCAATGTTGGCCATACAAACTACTTTGACGCCATCTTGTGGACCCAAGTGAAGAGAATAAAAACGGTAAAGGCATTGCCTATAGACGTTTGATTTTTCAACTTTTTGTCATTGGGATTGCATGAAATAATTGCTCTTAAACTTATGCAAGAAATTCTTCTGAAAATGGCTTATGCGTTTCTTACTTTGAAGAGTATATTTATGGATCGCAGATTCATGTATAGACCTCATCTATAGACCTTTCCATGGCTTATTTCATGGACGAAGCCATTTTGTGGCAGCCATTAAGCGGCTGCAACGATGAACTGGTCTGTGCTATTTGTAACGCCGCGGCAATCTATTACGTTGCAAACAAGTCTAGACGGTGCCCAGTCAACGCTTACGCGGCGAAAAACAACGTCTACATACTGGTCCAATTACATCTCGTTTTAGGAATTCCTGATGTCATGTCTAACAAACATTGCAGGTAAGAAATATTTAAAGTACTAAAGTTTAAAGAAATGACCAGATAATGTCAATATCATGTGCATTTTCTCGTAACTTGGCTATTGTATTGTGCACGAAAACGTAAGGCCTTTAAACGAAGTTGAATTTAACGTGAAACTGTATGTAAACAATAGGCCGCCTGTATCTTATAAGGCCTGTGTTCTGAACTTGAACTTGCCTGTATTTTCAAATCTGTGTGGGGCATTTAAATATTTCAAAACATATTCCCCTAATGTTGTCTGTTTATATTTTGATTTGATATTTCAAGAATCATCGTCAATATTTATTATTTAGCTGTATAAAAATTATTTCAAGATTTACACACGGTAATCTCTTAGTAAATGCTCACAAATGACTACGTTTTAACTATATCTTAATGTTTGACCGCAGTACAGATGTAAGATAAGTTATTATTGACAGAAACACTTGTAGAGTAAGACCAGTGTAAAACACAGAATCAGTGTCAGTCTTAATACTGTCTGCAGAAAAGGCAGGAAAATTAACCTGAACAGAGACATTCTTTGTTTTGGTCGTGTAGTGCTGGGTTGCATAATGGTGATCTACTGACTTGTTAAAATGAACCTGTACTCCTACAGTTCTGTTTGGAACTTTTATCATAGGTCTGTGAAGACAAAAACAAGTCTTCTGTTTACAACAGTCACAATCACTTGGTCTGGAGTCATCATTCTCCTTTTCCTGTTCTTCAGCTTGAGATACAGGTTGATCTGTCAGTTCAGCTTCAGCATGGCACTCCTCAGTCATGCCAGTTGATTGCTCCTTGGGGTCCGAGAAACATCAGAGAGAGGGTGTCGGAAAATGGTCCTTCTCCCTTGTGTCACCTGGAGAGAGGAAAGTTAAAGTATAACAGGCTATTATACATTTACATCAATTAACAGTAATAAATAGTTAATAATATAATTGTCAAAATAACTTTACGTTTAATACATCACTAAAGTACTGGCGGAAATGCTAGAAAAATGCTTTTTGACTTACATTTCAAATTCAGAGGTAATACAGTTACTTAAATAACAACTATCACTTTGAGAAACATCTACCTAGCGTAGACTGAGGGAATAAATTTTGAGACATGCCCTAAAATGCGTTTTTACTGATGAAAATACCAAAAACTTAGAAAAATAAGGGGTAGTGGGACGTTATTTGATACAAACATTAACTGCCTGTGTTACGTCATCAGCAGGCACGGTATCGACAGGTGAAATTGACACCTGAGCACACGCTCGGGCGAGGGGTCATCTCAATGGATGTTTTCTTCAAAATGTTGAATATGTGTACGTATAGTATACGTATTGGTTATGTAAGGGATCATTTGTGTATGTGTGTTTGTTGTAAAATAAACATACGAATTACTGTACGTTGGAAAGAATCATATCACTTGTGTTATCTTATCGATTGATTGTAGAAATGTGCAACGTTTTAATAAATGTTTTGCATGTCAACAGTATATTTAGTTGCAAAAATATGGATGGAATTCGGTCAGTTTAATCTAGTTGTGAACATTGGCCAAAGCTTTAACGAAGTCACTGGTGTAGCTTCTTTAGAATATATATATTCTTCTTCTCCTAAAGTTTGTAGACCGCCCGCCCAAGTACTCCCTTGTCAAAGTTGTCAAGGAATGAATGAATGAATGAATACTCTTTATTTCCCCCAGTGATTTGGAGAGTACATTAGATTATATTAGTTGTCAGTCGCACTGACGACAGAGACAATACATATGACAATTCAGTTCAACAGGGTTTTCACAACAAAAGAGAAATATAAAGAGCTGTATATACATGGTGTGTGACATAATTTCACAGATATAATATACACCTTAAGTTCCATGAGCTGACATTTTTAGCCACGATGCACATGAATGTTGCCCAGCTGTCAACATCCGTAATGGCACCGAGGTATGTCAGGACCTTAGCTTCATCACTAGCAGTGTCCTCGAGTTTGAGATAGGTGTCAAGGTTGAGGTTATCAAACAACGTCTCACTTAGCACATTTCTTTGTTCAATGAGGCTTTCACAGTAAAGCAATTGATGCTTAACAATGTCTTCACTTTCGCAGTCACAGAGCAGACATTGTCCCGATGTTACAGGTAATATGCCGAGCTTAACCAGGGCATAAACAGGAGGAGATGCGATACCATACCAAACACACAGATTCCAGAGACGATGTGGAGCAAGCTGGGTGTGAATATCACTAAACCTATGCATATCAGGACGTTGTTGCAAAGTGTTTCTCCATTTAATATTTTCAAATCTACACAAGGTTCGTTTGACTGTGCTTTCCCATATACTTGTACATGGGAATTCTCCGGTTTTGATAAATTTGTCTAGTACGTCTGAAAACCCATACTTCTTGGCTACATTTAGTAGATCATGTGTTATGGATCTGGTACTATGTGTGGTAGTGGTGGCATACTGGCACAGTCTCAGATAGAAGATCGGCTTCACAATGGTTGTGCCGGCTGCTCTACAGAGTCGTCCTAAGAAGAGAAGCTTCATCTTGTCTATTCTGCCCAGCATTGTCCATAATCCAAGGACCTGGATTGTAGCACCTGTAGACGACCTCTTGTGGAGATTCTGGACTCGCCGCGCAAATTACCGTTGCAAAGTTTCCATTTCGTTGATTTCACAATTGCTGATATTTGGCCAGAGTTCACATGCATAGAAAGCAGATGGGAAGATTACTCTTTGCCAGATATTCGAAGAAGATATTGGGTTAAATCCTCCAGCTCTGAGGCCAACTTCTCTTAGGGAGTTGATTGTCTGTCTTGCTTTAGTACAAGCTCGAGTAGTTCGTCCACTTGCTTTCTCTGTGTGTATCAGAGAGCCAGCATAAATCGTGCTAGTATGGATTGGCAATGTCACGGCTCCAATTTGGAAGACAGATCTATTACATTGTCTTCTGTCGTTGATGAAAGACAAGACACAGCTCTTACTGGCGTTATATGTCAGTCTACAGCGGAGGGCATACTGGTGGATTGCAGCAAGGGACATGTTCAGTCCATGTGCAGTAGTACTGGCAACAGTAGTATCATCGGCCAATAATACTAAGGGGATGTGCTCCTTACCAACGATTAGCCCGTGTTGTAAATCATCAAGTTGGGATATCAGGTCATTGATATAGACTAGGAACATCCATGCTGAGAGCACACGACCTTGTCCTACTCCTTGTTGGACATTGAACAAATCACTCATTTTACCATTGTATTTAACACACGCACATGCTTCTTGATACGATTGACGGATGATATGCCATCCACGGCCCTTTACACCAAGATTGAATAGTTTCAGCAACAGACCCTCATGCCATATCCTATCGAAGGCCTTTTCGTTGTCGAGAAAGGCAACAAGGACATTTGAGTGTTTATCTCGATAATATGAGATAACCTCCTTTAATACATATGTGGCTACACTGGCTCCATGCTCTTTCCGGAATCCACACTGGAGGCGATGTGGGAAATCAGGATTTACAATTTCGATGTAAGATTCCAGTCTGTCAAGCAACTAATGAAAGGTTTACCTCTGTGTTTTTTCAAACAACAAAAAACTTATAAACCTTTGCAACAATCGTCTGCAAATAGTTGGCCATAGTGGACGCTGTGATAAAGATGTGCATGCATGACGGGAAACTTATTTATCGAGACTTAACATTTATATTAATATTTCTTCAATAAAGAAACGATAATTAAGTAAAGTAACACAAACATTCACCATTTATTTGTGTAAGAAAAACGTTAATTTATATTTTTACACCACCTGTATTATTAGCATAAATGTAAAGACTATTTCAGATTTCTGTTGTTGAACTCTGAAAAAATCTTTAGTTGTTGTTTTGGTACCAAATTCTCTTCTGTAAACTGCCCTTTAAATGCATGGGAATGTTAAATCAATTGAAATAAAAATTAGGTACACTATAGGTGAGTTGATATATTGACAACATAATACATTTATCACCTTTCTAAAGATATTAAGGCTAAAAAGCATTTTTCTAGCATTTCCGACGGTACTTTAGTAGGACTATATTGTGCATTACATTAAACTAAAAGTACACTAACCTTTCTTTGATATCCCAAATTTAAGACTGGATCAGGATTTTGTTTGCTTGGATGGCAATCCCAAAAATGAATTGAGCATATCTGAAAAAAAAGTTATAAAAATAAAATAATTACATTTCTATTTAGCCAATGTCACTCCAGTAACTACAATGGTTTATCACATTTTCAACATTTTTTTTCACTCCTGTTAAACACTAGAGCCGTTAAATAAAGAAATTCCTTACATCCGTGTACTATGTGTACACTGACGACACACAGAGGGTAAAGTAATTAAGTAATAACAAACTACATAATAAATTAATCCAGTAATGTTATTCTTAACTCATTTTAAGTAAAGATACATTGAGTAAATAATGATAAATAGACTGTTTCCTCTCAATATATTTTGGGCATATTGCAAGATATCAGTAAGTTTCTACAATACAAATGTCTCTAGAATAATGATTTGTAGCACATAAGCTTTTAAAATGATGGAATATTTTACTAGTAAAAATTGTCGTTCAACCCTTTGTTGCATAGCTTTACCCTACAGTGCATTCGTACCTCCTATACTGTAACATAGGAGGTACGAATGCTACGAGATCTTAAGCTTACGAGAGCTTTGTGAAACGGGGTACAGCACTGTTGGCCCTACATGAATAATATCCAACGTTTCATTATCTCTAGTTATCAGATGGGATACACTATTGTGCCACTTATTATCTTGATAAATACATACCACACTGCTATCAGATGGGTGAAAATCCTTCCGATTAACACGTGACACCCAAACACGACGACGATCTTCATTCACAGGAAACCTATGGAGATGATAGGGAAACAAACAAGGGCAGTCCTTCCGTGGCAGTTTATGGACTGTACAGGGCAATTCCTTCAATATACGTAGATTTCTCTGGCTATTTGTACAGTTTTTCATAGTACAAATTCTCCCTGATCCACGTTTATAAGGCCTACCTCTGTCTCGAACAAACCCAGCAAGTTCCCAGACGTAAAACGTCAATGTCAATTTGCAGCCGCTTAATGGCGGACGACACTAGCGCCACCACAAAGGGGGATAACTGAGAGTGGCACGAAGCACTGCTCCGTGGAAAGGTCTATAGTTGATAAACAGGGTAAGAAGTACATTCCTTTTTCATATTGTACTAATTCTATATAAAATATGCTTTGTGCTGAAAAGGTTTTTTTATTCATCATTATGACTTTTAGAGCTAAAAATAACTCTTTTATGTAAATTTAAGACTAAAAGCCACCTAAAACGATTTGGTGACTTACAGCATATGGAAAATATATTCCTTAACCAAATATGCATGGTATTTGATGTTAAAACCATTGTTCTGTTCCGGGTTTTTGCAACTTTTTCAGTTCCCGGTTAAATTTTGGTGGCCATCTTGGATTTCGAGCTAAATATAGCTTTGGCATTAATATTCGGATTGGAACCAAACATTTTTTTAAACTCCTTTAACATATAAACACAACAGAATATATGATTTGCTTTCATCAAAAAACTTTTACGGAATCCAATAAGCTCCTTGACTAATACTTAAAAGAAATGAGAACGTCTAAGGAAAAAAGCATTTCGATCTCTGAATACTTCTGAGCTATTTAAATACAAAAAGCAAAGGAATAAAGTAAATAATCTGAAAAGAATAGCCAAGGGAAACTTTTATTCTAATTTTGATAACTATTTATCACCTCAGTCTACTCAATCAGGTTGTTAGTACTTCATCGGGGCCCACTCCCCTTCTTGTCACTGATGATTCTGGGATACCTTCAGTTTTCACAGATTTGGATAAAGCTCAAACATTAAATGAATATTTTGTATCTGTTTCAAATGTTACTAATGGCGGCAAGACTTTGCCACCTGTTAGCCATCGCTGTGTTAACAGTATAACAAATGTCATTAACACGTCACAATTTAATTCTGGACTCACAAAAGTCCAGAAACTCTCCGCACTGTGGGTACTTTCTGACAAGTGATTTGACCAAATTAAACATGCAGTTGTTTTGAATATATGCCAAGGATGAAAAAATGAAAAAAAACAAATTGCGAAAACTTGTCCAATGGGCGAGAATGTTTAATTTTTCTCAGAATTCATGTTTTGGAGGTTGTAAATGAATGAGTGTATGTTTATAAGCATCATGACACAAAATTTAACTGATTGTGACTTAATTCGACTAACTTAGGGCGATATTAAAACATCTCGCCCATGGGCGAAAAATATGTTGGCCCATGGGCGAGAATGTTTAATTTCACTCAGAATTCATGGTTTGGAGGTTGTAAATGAATGAGTGTATGTTTATAAGCATCATGACACAAATTTCATTTTGACTTAATTCCACTAAGTTAGAACGATATTAAAAACTCTCGCCCATTAAATTATATATTCTGTGAGATATGAAATGAAAAATAGTGAAAAAAAAGATTTTTCCTAATGTTGCATTGCTGTACCTTTACCCGTCGGAGAAGTCCTTCTCAAAAGATATATTCCGTTGTTTGGAGCAGGCCTATATGACTATTACGCCCCAGTGCTGCTAAACAACTCGTAAACCTTTAGTCTGACATAAACGCAGGTATCCTGTATATGTTGCACATATACTACACAACGTATTATGCATGTAGTCAATGGTATCCTAAGCAACATCCACTCGTATTCAAGATTACACTTGGTTAGCGATGCAAACAAATGTGTATTCGTATGTGCATTTTAATGAAATGAGGAACCAAGCAAGCAAAGTCATAGTATGCATAAAAATCAAGTTGGTACACTGGGACTCGTTATCATCGGAGGAAACTCACAGTTTACTTGTATGGACGATCTATTATAAGTACGTGTTGTCTGTTTGTGGTAGACAGAACCGTTACATAGCATGTAGAGCACGGATACACTGCTCGTGCATCCCACACACTCACGTGCACGTGCTTCACAACATTCGCAGTGCGTTCACCGTTAACATCTGGCGGTGCGTGTCACTGACTGAAGACGTGAAGGGAGGCATTGACAACTTCATGAGCGCATATTATCATATTTATCTGAATCATATAAATTGTTCAGCAGTATATACAATGGGGGTTTTGGATCAAGTCCAACAAAAGCCTCTGCAAAGCCTTATTTGTGAAATAAGGCTTTGGTCGGACCCTTGATCCAGATATCATTACCCCTACTGCTTTCCCGATCTTATAAAAAGTTCGGAAGCTAGCGGGATACGAACACCCAATGTTATACCTCACAGCCGCGCCACTCAACTGACTGAGCTACCGGGGGCATGGCTAAAATGTGTCGGTTTAACGGGTCTATCCTGGGATTGCATCATCCAATGCTGGGCTGCGTCTCACGTGCCGCTATGCCACGTTTACCTCGATGAAACAGTTTAATGTGAATCGCCTATAATCTCTTTGGTGTTTGTAATAAAGGCTTGCCGGGCTTTTTGTACTCCCTGTTCTATGTACTTTTTTTTCTCATCCTCGCTGATAGCAGACTTACGAGACTTGGATCGAATCTCTTTTTTCATTTTGTTATATTTTTCGAGTTCAGAGAGGATTGAACGAAACTCCTCCTCCGAGATCTTGTTGTCAGTGAGTGCCGTGGAAATACGCTCACTTACTGTGTTCAGCTTTGCTTCAGCCAGAACCCTGATCTTGTCGTGTTTCAATGCCTTACGATGCAGTCTGCGGGATGCAAACTTAAGCACCAACCCTAACACCCCTGCCACCCCAGCTGTTATTTCGATACCTAGCACTATAGGTGCGGCCACGATGGTGGCTAATAACCCAACACCTGCCGCCCCTAGCCCCATGCTGGTTGTCATAAGGGCAGTATCAGCCCCATCAACGATATTGGAAGCTCTATGGTACTTCTTACACAGTGCTTTCCGCATGTCGCGGTCTTGTTCTAGTTGGCGTTTTACATCACATAACTGCCTCAACCGGAACCTGTCTACGGTTTCCAGGGTCTTCGCTACTTCCTCTACGACTGGGTACAGCCCCATCCTGTGTGCCTATAATATAGGCTTCAGTTAACAGTCGATCAACGTACTTGAGGCTTATAAGGTATAAATCTTCATGTAGGAGAATAGGTGAGAATTTAATAGGTAACTCTGCATCCACAAGAGCCCCATAGGAGGGGCTTATTGAGGGGGTTATAGAACCCGTTAAGGGGTCCGGTTGTATGATGATACGGTAACGTTGACCATGGTTCCGGGGATTCCAGTATACTGTCACCCCAGGTAAAAGTTGTTGTTTTATATTATTACTATTAACTCTTTCGAGATAGACTTCTATGATAAGTGTGGAGCCTGGTACCATAGCCGGAATCCCTATGTGCGCGTAGCAGTCATACCTTAACTCACCCCTGTGGAATGCCAGTAACATATTGGGTAAAACCGGCCTAGTATCATCCTTGTATTAGGCCCCGGAACGAAACACGCGGGCAAGGTACTGCTATTCTTAATTTCAGAGATATAACTTTGTTCCTTTAATGAGATATAAAGTGAGGCGAGGGTTAAGTTGACTACTCATTCAGGCTCTTTAAAATCTGATAACGACACCCGCCTATACACGTTGTCTTTCAAGTGCAGGATGTATAAGGTGTCTTCCTCACCAGGCTGATTGAATCCCTCCGTGTCCCCTAGGTCGTTAAGTGTAGCGTTGGGACGATGACTGGTCATTGCTATAATACTACTACGATATAGTTTCCAACTGGTTTTCTGATAATAGTTCAGGGGTGAACTTCACCCCCATGAAGTGTATGTTGTCAGGTAGGAAGATCTTGGTTAGTGATATCGTGTTTTCCACGATCACGGTGACGCCCTGCAGACTGGTGTTGGAGCCGACACCCACCCGCACGTAAACTGTGCAAACGTGATACTGGTGTCGTTTCGCCCACCCGAGTTTGATCCCCTTCACGATCTCGACATCACCCCGCGATGGTTCCCCTAGGTAGACTTGGATGATCAGTGTTGAGTTCGCCGTTAGACTCTCAAGGATGGTGACCACGCCTTCGAATTCAGACACCAACTGCAATGTCACGTTTTGCATGCCCGGTTTACTTGATAGCATGTGGGCTGCCATACTAGCGACTGGGCTGATGACTACGCTACGTCTCTGTACGAACGACTTTGTTTAGGTGGTTTTCTTTGTTATCCGTGAACACGTAGGGGGAGCCGAGCCAAATATTGAGAAACCAGTCGTCTTTATCGGGTAATAACACCCACTTGTCATCTTCGGTGAAGACAAGCGTATATGGCTTGTTTCGGGCGACGGTAGTGCTCTCAACATCGTCTAAGTCGAACAGTTTGCCCCCGAACGATAGGTATATTATCCATTTATCATCACCGGGTGTTGACTAGGGTGTACTTAGTGTTGACGACCGCTCTTGAGGTATCTACTATATCACCTAGGGCTCCACCGGAGGTGACTTCAACGCGTTTGTAAATGTTGTTTTTCAGTTGCAAGGCGTACAATTTACCATCTACTCCGGGAGCGTCGAAACTGCGTGTGTCCCCAAGGTCGGAGATCCCCACATTGATGCATTTTTTCACCCCGGGCCCTTGTGGGCTGGTCATTTTATGTGAATCGTTAAGCTGAGGTATCCTATATTGACGGGATTATGATTTATATCTAACACTGATATTATCAGCTCAGGTATGTTGCCTTGAGCCAACCTCTTATACTGCCGCGGTGAAAACGACTCGGTTCTACCGTCGTTGTATTTCTCCGTTTTAACCGGCACTGCTCTCAGTATAGTGGAAGGGTGACCCCCTTGAATGTTGTACGTTGTGCTCACCTGACCGAGATGAATGTACAACTCTCGGTACAGTAGGTCGGGTAACTTCATGCCTGTGACGGTAGTTGTTGGTTTTATCTCGTCAGGCGACATACCTAGTG